AGGTCAGTAAACATTTGAACACTTGTATATGAAAATGCTTCACTCATCTTTAAGTTGAAGTACTGAGTATTTTGCAATGAAAAAATTATAATGTAAGAAAATCCATACATTCAATTTAAAGTAATTTTCTTCATAGTTTTTATTCTTTTTAAAGCTGCCCTTCTATCAGATCTGATTAGATGTTGCTTCAACAGCCAACACACACTACAAGGGGAGTTCCTACTAACGGTACAAGTACATAGGTGATCCTACGCCATATTCTTGTTCACTTGCTGATTGCATAATTAGAATTCTTTTCAGTCATTTTTTCTTGGCATGAGTTTTTTTCAGTCACTAGTCCATTTTGTAAGGATTAATTTAATTAAAACTAGAGACTATACTCTGTGTGACCATGTAACTGACCACACACCAACTTCTAATATATTTTTACAACACCCTCATGTACAACCTTTTGGACATATATAATTGCTTCTGTGGAACTGACAAATGTTGAGGTCATCACCAGTCAGAACACAGATCAGATTCTCTTTTAGAGGAAGGGATTGAGAATAAGTATACTTTGAAATTTCGTGCCTGCCATGCATGATTTGAACAGGAAATAGTCACATCCCAGGCAGTGCACCATTGACGTTGCATTCATCATCAAAAAGATCATTTCAAGATCTATCCTGAAGTACAGCGCCATCAGTGATAGGATAATATCCATTTGCCCACAAGGAAGATCAGTTAATAAGACTTATTCAAATTTACACACCAACCACTAAGGCCAAAGATGAAGAAATTGAAGATTTTTACCAACTTCTGCAGTCTGAAATTCATCAAACATGCAATCAGGATGCATTGATAATTACTGGTGACTGGAATGCGAAAGTTGGAAACAAAGAAGGATTGGTAGTTGACGGCCTTGGTGATAGAAATGATGCCAGAGATCTCAAGATAGAATTTTGCAAGACTAATGACTTCTTCATTGCAAATACCTTTTTCCAACAACATAAACGGTGACTATACACGTGGACCTCGTCAGATGGAATACAGAGGAATCAAATCGACTGCACCTGTGGAAAGAGACAATGGAAAAGCTCAATATCATCACTCAGAACAAGGCCAGGGGCTGACTTCGGAACAGACCATCAATTGCTCATATGCAAGTTCAAGTTGAAACTGAAGAAAATTAGAACAAGTCCACAAGAGCCAAAGTATGACCTTGAGTATATCCCACCTGAATTTAGAGACCATCTCAACAACAGATTTGATGCATTGAACACTAATGACCGAAGACCAGATGAGTTGTGGAATTATATCAAGGACATTATACATGAAGAAAGCAAGAGGTCATTAAAAAGACAGGAAAGAAAGAAAAGACCAAAATGGGTGTCAGAAGAGACTCTGAAACTTGCTCTTGAACGTTGAGTGGCTAAAGCAAATGGAAGAAAGGATGAAGTAAAAGAGCTGCCAGAAGATTTCAAAGGGCAGCTCGAGAAGACAAAGTAAAGTATTATAATGACATCTGCAAAGAGCTGGATTTAGAAAAGCAAAAGGGAAGAACACGCTCGGCAGTTCTCAAGCTGAAAGAACTGAAGAAAACATTCAAGCCTCGAGTGGCAATACTGAAGGATTCTGTGGGGAAAATATTAAAAGATGCAAGAAGCATCAAAAGAAGATGGAAGGAATACACAGAGTCACTATTCCAAAAAGAACTGGTCGACATTCAACCATTTCAGGAGGTAGCATATGATCAGGAACTGATGGTACTGAAGGAAGAGGTCCAAGCTGCACTGAAGGCATTGGTAAAAAACAAGCCTCCAGGAACTGATGGAATACCAATTGAGATGTTTCAGCAAATGGATGCAACACTGGAAGTGCTAACTTGTCTATGCCAAGAAATTTGGAAGACAGCTACCCAGCCAACCGACTGGAAAAGATCCATATTTATGCCTATTCCAAGGAAAGGTGATCCTACCGAATACAGAAATTATCGAACAATATCATTAATATCACAAACAAGTAAAAGTTTTCTGAAGATCATTCAAAAGCGGCTGCAGCAGTATATCGACAGGGAACTGCCAGAAATTCAAGCTGGATTCAGAAGAGGATGTGGAACCAGGGATATTATTGCTGATGTCGAATGGGGCCTGGCTGAAAGCAGAGAATACCAGAAAGATGTTTACCTGTGTTGTATTAACTATGCAAAGGCATTGGACTGTGTGGATCATAACAAATTATGGATAACATTGCGGAGAATGGGGATTCCAGAATGCTTAATTATGCCGAGGGCACTACATAGATCAAGAGGCAGTTGTTCAAACAGAAGAAGGGGATACTGCATAGTTTAAAGTCAGGAAAGGTGGGCTTCAGGGTTGTATCCTTTCACCATACTTATTCAATCTGTATGCTGAGCAAATATTCCCAGAAGCTGGACTATATGAAGAAGAATGGGGCATTAGGATTGGAGGAAGACTTGTTAACAACCTGCATTATGCTGATGACACAACCTTGCTTGCTGAAAGTGAAGAGGACTTGAAGCACTTACTGATGGAAGATCAAAGACCACAGCCTTCAGTATGGATTACGCTTCAACATAAAGAAAACAATTCTCACTACTGGACCAGTAATCAACATCATGGTAAACAGAAAAAAGATTGAAGTTGTCAAGGATTTCATTATACTTGGATCCACAATCAGCACCCGTGGAAGCAGCAGTCAAATGAAATTGCATTGGGTAAATCTGCTGCAAAAGACCTGTTTAAAGTGTTAAAAAGCGAAGATGTCTTCTTGAAGACTAAGGTGCACCTGACCCAAGCCATAGTGTTTTCAATCACCTCATATACATACGAAAGCTGGACAATGAATAAGGAAGACCAAAGAAGAATTTACGCCTTTGAATTATGGTGTTGGCAAGGAATATTGAATATACCATGGACTGCCAAAAGAACGAATAAATCTTGTCTTGGAAGAAGTATAGGCAGAATGCCCCTTAGAAGCAAGGATGGTGAGACTTCATCTCACCTACGTTGGACATGTTACCAGGAAGGATCAGTCCCTGGAGAAGGACATCATGCTTGGTAAAGTAGAGGGTCAGTGAAAAAGAGGAAAACCCTTGATGAGATGGATTGACACAGTGGCTGCAACAGTGGGCTCAAGCATATCGATTGTGGGGATGGCACACCACCGGGCAGCGTTCCGTTCTGTCGTACATAGGGTCACTATGAGCTGGAACCGACTCGATGGCAGCTAACAATAACAATAGTGAGTGCACCATATGAGTGAAACGATCAAGGCCATTACAGTTATGGGCAAGGAGACCCCAGAGGGTTGTGGTCGTCTGTGAAGGTGTCATTATGTTTTATCATCTCTACATTTATTTGAGGTTAGAGAACACATTCCTTGATGTTGCTTTCATATCCTCACTGTGCACTCAGTCCTCAACATATGAATTAAATGTTGCCCCACTGCTCTCTTCATGATCAATGAGGACCTATCAGACAAATTTCAGAGACTTCTTTCAGTCTTTATAAAAATCAATGGTGATGATGACGGATTATTTAACTTTTAATAAAGGGCTCATTTAATTCTTCCAATACAATTGAAACTGATATGGAAATATTTACATATACGTGATAAAATAATTTATATTAATAACATCATCTAGTTTTCCTGATACATTTTCAAGTAAGTTGCTGACACCATAGAATACTTAGTATTTCCTACAGACAAGGACGTTCTTTTAACAATGAAGTCGTCAAAATCAGGACATTAGTATTGATACATTACTGTAACTTAATCCTCAGAGGCACTCAAGTTGTCCTTATAATCAAAATGATCTAGTTCTGAATCACATGTTGCATTTAGTTGTCCTGTCTTTTTAGTTTCCTCCAATCTGGAACAGTTCCTCAGGCTTTCCTGAATTTTCATGAGTTTGACACTTTTGATGATTACTGGGTTATTTGGCTTTTAAAAAGATAGACATATATCTCTAAGGGGCACAATTACAGGTATTCTAATGGAAAGGCTCTAAGAAAAGGGAGGGGGAGTTTCCTTTTGGGCACCGCGGAATATTCAGATTTTTAATTTCTTTTTTTAGATTTGTATTTACCTTTACAGTCCTCATTTACACCGCTCACCCTCTGAAATCTCCAAGTTCCAACTGCCTAGCTGAAGACAGGCTTCCCCCCGCCCCTTTCCGCTCTTCTGTCCTTCCTCCTTCTTCTTTGACTTGTCTCTTAATCTTACCATACTCATTTGGCCCATATTCCTTACCTGCCTGAGTCCCACCTAACCTCTGACCCATCCTCCCTCCCTCCTCCCTTCCACACACAGCCGTGCTCTCCTGGCAGGTTCTCGCTCTGCATGCGTGGCTTGGCTGTGTTGGAGGAAAGAGGGGCAGCCAGAGGGAGGCGGAGCGTCAGGAAAGCGACTTGAGGTTGGGGCCGTCTCAGGCACTAGGCACGTGCTCCAGGAGGGACAGTTATTTAACCTCTTTGTGCCTCGGTTTCCTCACTTATAGGGATAATGACAAGACCTCTGGCGGGGTGCTGTAAGGATTAAATGATTTAAGCATTTAGATCTGTGCTGGGCACATAGTGAACGCGAGCTGAGTTCTTAGCTTAGTACCATTCGCAACTGCAGTGAATGGAGCCACGGGCCAAAGGGGCAAAAAAACCTCATTGCGGTCGAGTCGATTCCGACTCAGAGAGAGGGGTGAGGTGTCCTAGGGTAGGAAGGGCTGAGCCCATGGCCCTGGGGAAGGTCAGCCTCCAGGAGGAGGAGGGGGCGCTCCGTGTTGAGGTCGCCTCGCCCTCTGCCCTCTCCCACACGAAGCCCCGGCGGAACGTCTGAGGCCCTGTCACTCGCCGGGCCGGCCGGAGGGCTAAGACCAGTACTCCGGAATAGAACGGGACCACCGATACAGAGTCCCCTTGTGACGCCTAGAGCGACTCGCCAGAACCCTGGGATTCCATTGGGCTGTGAGCTGAGAGCGGGGCGGAAGTTCGGGGCTGCAGTTCCAGTCCGGGGGGCTGAGCTGTCTCCACCGCTCTAGGCTGCGGCATGAGCGCTTTTCCCTCCCTTGGCCGACCTGGGTGAGTTCTGGGCCGGGGGCGGTGGGCGCGGAGGTATCACAGTGGTTCTGTGGCGGGCGGGACGGATCTGGGCTCAGGGGCATAAGGACACGCCCCGAGGCCTCACTGACCCGGGGAAGACGCGCCTGGGACGCGTTGAGTGCCCAGTTTGGGGTGAGGGATGGGCAGGAAGAGAACGGGGCAGCCGGCTGAATAAAGAACGCCTTGCTGAAGAGGCGGCGCTGGGGCGTGGTCGAATTGTGTGATGAACCGAACTGTGGTTTCCTCAGAAGAGAGAAAAATACTTTCCATTCAGCAGGAATAGAGGATAAATTTGTGCAAAGACGCGGTGAAGAGGCCTCGGTGGCTGGGGGTAAAGGCCGGAGATCACACATCCCAGCGCTAGAGCAAGGCCAGCATTCATTCAGTAGGCGCTCAGTAAACGTTGATCTAATTTAAGAGTTAAGATTTAGTTAATATTTTTTGTTTGCGGCTTGAAGCACTATGCTAAGCACGTCTTACACATTGTCTCATTTAGTTCTCAAAAATAGTTACTTAAGGAAAGTGGTGATGTTATTCCCTTGTGGTGGTCTGTGGAGAAACTCAACTCACCTACCTGAGGCCCCTGCGTTAGTAGGTGGTGTAGCCAAGACTGGAACTTGTTCCTGATGGGGTCCAGAGCCTGTGCTCCTAATAGCAGTGTCGCTTGCTTTTCAGATGAGTCTGGAAGTGAAGGCAGGTGCATTAGGAAGGACAGCTTTTTTTTTTTTTTTTTAAATTATTCTGCTTTAAGTTAAAGTTTATAATTCAAGTGAGTCTCTCTTACAAAAATTTATACATACATTGTTATGTGACCCTAGTTGCTCTTCCTATACTGTGACAGCACACTCCTCCTTTCCACCCCAGATTTACCATGTCTGTTCAACCAGTTCCTGACCCTCTATGCCTTCTCATCTCGCCTCTGGACAGGAGCTGCCCATTTAGTCTCATGTATCTACTTGAGCTAAGAAGCACATTCTTCATGAGTATCATTTTATGTCCCATAGTGCAGTCTAATCTTTGTCTGAAGAGTTGGCCTCGGTAATGGTTTTAGTTTTAAGCTAACAGAGAGTCTGGGGGCCATGTCTTCCGGGGTCCCTCCAGTCTCAGTCAAACCATTAAGTCTGGTCTTTTTACTAGAATTTGAGTTCTGCACCCCACTTTTCTCCTGCTCTGTCAGGGACTCTCTGTTGTGTTCCCTGTCAGCGCAGTCATTGGTGGTAGCCGGGCACCGTCTAGTTCTTCTGGTGTCAGGCTGATGAATTTTCTGGTTTATGTGACCCTTTCTGTCTCTTGGGCTAATCCTTTCCTTGTGTCTTTGGTGTTATTCATTCTTCTTTGCTCCAGGTGGGTTGGGACCAGTTGATGCATCTTAGATGGCCACTCACTAGCTTTTAAGACCCCAGACACCACTCCCCAAAGTGGGATGCAGAACATTTTGTTAATAAACTTTGTTATGCCAGTTGACCTAGATGTCCCCGGAAACCATGGTCCCTAGACCCCCACCCCTGCTACTCTGTCCCTCAAAGTGTTTGGTTGTATTCAGGTTGCTTCTTAGCTTTGGTTTAGTCCAGTTGTGCTGACTTCCCCTGTAGTGTTTGTCGTCAGGAAGGACCACTTTTGATATACAAAGAAGATGAGCAGCAGGGGCCAGTTGAAGGCAAGTGCTGGCTGGGGACACGAGGGCTGCCTTTGACACAGGTATACCTCAGCTGGAGATGACATGAGACCCAGGAGAAATGAGTTGGGTGGGCTGTGTATCAGTAAGCTGCTACTTAGAGAAAACTCACCCAGCAGTTGCTTAAACGATGAAGATGGGACAGACAGGATTTGTTCGGTTTGTTCTGGGATGTCAGGGGTCTAGATTGTGTCTCTGAAGTTCTCTTGTCTTTCCCTTGTGGTCACTCCAGACTCCTTGTTTCCTCAGGAGGAAAAGTCCCTCCTAGAAGCCTCTTGCGAGCTTCCCTTAATGTCTTATTGGCCAGAACTGGGCCTTGTGTTTACCTCTAGAGCCCAGAGGAATGGGCACATTTGTAATTGAATTAAGAGATCTGTTTGCATGGAGGGGCTGTGGAAGGAAGAGACCAGCTGTTTCTGCAGAGGTCAGTTGGGAAGGTTTTCCTGGGAATGACACCTCACAAGTGTCATCTGTCAGTGCTAAAATAAAACCAGATCCATGGTTTTAAATGTCACCTGTATACTGACAACTCCCAACGTATATCCAGTCAACCTCAACCTCTGTCTTGAATTTTGGGCCTTTGTAGCTGAATGTCTTAATTCTCCACTTGTAAGTTTAATAGACATCTTAAACATAACATGTACAAAACAACTTTTAATTTTTGCCTCTCAGCGTATACTCCTGCAGTCTTGTCCTTCTGAGTAAATTGTAATTTCATCATTTCAGTTGCTCAGGCCAAAAATCTGACCTCTTTTCATCACCTCTCCTACCACCACTCTAAGACACGCCATCTCTAGCTGGATTATTGCTAAAGCTTCCAGCTGCTTTCCTGCTTCCACCCTTACCTCTCAGTGTGGTCTCGAACCAGCAGCCAGAGAGGCCAATGTGTCAAGTCATATCACTCTGATCAAACCTTCCAGATGCTTCCTGTCTCATTCAGAGTACAAGCCAATGTTCTTCAATAGCCTACAAGACACCTTACCCTCCTCTCTATTGCCCTCCCCTCCTCTGCTTCAGCCCCTCTGGTCCCTCTGCCCTTCCTGGAACACACCAAGTAGGCTTGCACCTGAGGACCTTTGCACCTGAGCCTCCCCTTGCCTGGGATGTTCTTCCAGTGGTGTCCTTATGAAGCCTACCTTCACTCTGTCCAGTTATCTGCTTTGATGTTGCTTTATCAGAGGTGCATTCCCTGGCTTTCCTACATAAAATATCTCCTACGTACCTATTGCTACTTTTTGTGCTGCTTCGTTCTTTCTAGCCATTGTCATCACCTGGCATAGGCATGTCTGTCCATCTCCACGTTCATTTATGTATTACAGGAGCTTGTCTGCTTGTCTCAACTTTGTAACCACTGCCTCGACCCTCATTGGTGGACTGAGTTATGCAGCTCATTGTCTCCCCTGGCCAGTGCATTCTGGGGGACCTGACTTTCGTGTGGTGAACTGACCTTGTGATGTTATCATAGTAGGGGCTGCTGGGGAGGCCTGATTCTAGGTGCGGGGAAGGGGTGTGGTCCCAGAGGCAACCCAGGTGCCTAGCGCACCTGCCCTTCCCAGAGTTTTCAGCAGCCCAGATCTGGGTCCAGGCCCAGAAGTCTCAGGGGAGCAAGTCAGTCAGGCACCATCACACTCTCCCTCCAGCTCTGCTGCCTCCTCAGGACAAGTTCAAGAGATCCCAGTGATGGCCGTTAAGCAGCTCTTTCCTCTTGGGCCGCAGGTGAGTGGTCCTCTTGGAGACCCCAGCATTGCCCCAGCCTTGGTGTGGCCTCCACCCTTCCTTAGCTGGTCCTAGTGGAATTGAAGTCCCTGAAATGTGCTCCGCACTGTGTTTTCCCAGTCCCTAGACTGGGTCCAGTGGAAGGCAGGGTCGGGGTGTCAAAAGATGACTCAACGTGGTGTCTGCCTTGAAGAACCCACTGTAGAGGGGAAGATAAAACTTGGTACATGTACTCAGAGAGATTTTGCCCATCTTCAGCCTAGTGCCTCCTCCTTTCCTTTAAGGACCCTACCTAGGCCTGACCCCAGGGTTGCAGCAAGATCTTGTCATTCCAGGTTGCAGTGACTTTTGAGGATGTGGCTGTGCTCCTCTCTCAGGAGGAGTGGGACCGCCTTGGTCCTGTTCAGAGGGACCTCTACAGGGATGTGATGCTGGAGACCTACGGGAACCTGGTCTCACTGGGTAAGGCCTCTCCCCAGGACTCAGCTCCATGAACAGCTTGGGGACCAAAGGCTCGTCTGGGGCTGGAGGCTCAGAGGCTCCTCATCCCCTAGGTCCAGAGACAAGTGAGATGCTTACCCTGGTCCAAGGCAGGCCTGATCTGTGCAAGGTGAGCCTGGGAGCCTCCCTTTTTTCCTCATAGGAAGTATGGAAGGAGAATATTACTCACTGAGCACCTAGTATATTTGTATCTCCTGTGTTAGTCTTCGTGTGTCTTCAGGGTAGGTGGAGGGTACACAATTCATAGATGAACCCAAGGCGGACAAACAGCATCACTTGCTCATGTTTACATAGGCTGTTGGTGGAAAATTTGGGATATGAATCTATTCAGGTTCAGAGCCCTGTCTTCCTTGTACTGGAATGTACTGCTTTCTTTAGCCCTTCTGCCTGAGTTGTGGACCTCTCTGCTGGGTATTAACACCTCCTCTAGCATGAGTCTTCTACCACAATGTGTTCAGACCCCAAATTCTGTGCTTTATCCACGTCTGCTGGAAGAGCTGGGTCTTGATCCTTCTTCAGCTGGGGCAGAGGCCTAACTCTGTCTCTCGGGTTTGGAGCCCAGGTGGCTGAGGAGGTCATGACCAGCACAGAGATGCTGACTACACGGGCAGGCTCTACCTGGACCCGGGATGAATCATCAAGTGCTTCTTCCTTTTTCTGGATCAGGATGTCAAGGCTCCAAACCTGATGTCATCTCTCGGCTGGAGCATGGAGAAGAGCCCTGGGCTCCATACTTGCTGAGAACTGAGGGATGCAGGATCTGGAGGCACAGGAGTGATGGTGAGTCTGCAGGAATACCCTGTCTCTCCTTCCTCTGCTGGCTGGTGCTGCAAGCTTCGCCAGGCCCTTCTCTGTGATCTCCAGACCAAATCTCTGGTCACTTCCAGGAGTCTGCTTCCGTTCTCCATCTCTGTCTTTCCTCTCCTCTTCTTGTTGTTAATGGCCCCTGTTCTGTGTCTATAAGTGGATTCATGTTTTCCTTACCCTAGAAAACCTTTTAACCCCAGAAATGAGCTCAGGTGTTTTTCGTGGAAACTGGTTCCCTGCCCTGGCTGCCTCCCGGTCCCTCACTTCATGATGCCCACTCCTTTTCAGTCCTTCCTGGTCAGGTTGGGGACATTACCAGGAGAGACTACCTGGAGGGATGCCTCTCTTGCTGTGTCACTTCTTCCTGCCGTCATTCACTCTCCAGCATTCATCTCAGGCTGATTCTGGACCTTGGGGAAGAAGATGAGTTAGACAGGGTTTCTTTCTGTTTCTAGAAAGTACTGTTAGTGTAGGGAGGGATTTGGGCAGGTAGACAGTAAGCGGAGCAGAGTCCTGTGCTCTGTGCAGCCATGGCAGCTAACATCTACTGGGTATGTTTGTGCTCAGTGTGTGCCCAACACTGTGCTGGCACGGTGAACTTACATAGTCCCCCAATCACCCTGTGTAGTTAGAGCCCAGGAGACTGAGGCACAGAGAGGTTAAATCACTGGCCCAAGCTCATATGGCTGGCCAGGGATAGAGCTTGGTTGGGTCCCTGGCAGACTGGTTCCAAAACTCATATATACATTTTTTTCAACAACAGCATTATTGAAGTATAATTGACATTCAGTAAGATGCACATATTTAAAGTGTACAATGTGATATATTTTGGCATATGTGTGCTTGTGTGAAAACATTGCTACAATCACGATAGCCAACATAGCTGTAAAAATGATGTGGTGGGGGTGTCTGACCTCCTCTAACTTCACTAGGGGGAGAGAGAATCACCATCAGCATCAACAGTCCAAGGCTGATTCCTATGAGGCAGAGGTCAGACATGCCTCCTCTCTCCAACCTTTTTACCAGTTCTGAGAGGCAGCCATTCCTCTCATGGCACTCTCTACTTCTTTATTATGATAATTTATTGCAACGGTCACACAGAACTCATAGACCATACTCACAGTTATGGAGTTTATTAGAGAGGTAACAGGTTACAATTCAGGATGCAGTTTTTCTGTCAGGACAGCCTCTTCTCAGCTGTGCCCACAGGCAGTCTCTCTCTGTCCCTCAGCCCCTCGGCCTGGCCTCTGCCCTGCTTGGGCAAGTGTTAAAAGCTCCTCACCTCTACCGATAAGTCCCTAGAGATAAAGTCCCCACTCCGCTAATAAGTCTTAGCCTGAAGGCACTTAGTTCTCTAGCTCTGTGGGTCGGCAGGCCTAGCTCCACCAAGTACCTGAAGGCATCCCACTCTGCCAGCAAGCCTCCTGCCCGAAGACTTTCAGTTTTCTTGCTCTGTGGGCCAGGAAGCCCACTGTGCCGTTTCCTGTTGGTCTTCTAGTTCTGCTGCCTCTGCTGCTGCTGTTTCCCTGCTGCTGCTTCTCCTCGTCTCCGGGGTTACAGCTTTCTCTCTCTATCTCCTGGGTCTAGGAGGTTCTCAGCACAGGGATCTGGGGTCCAAAGGATGTGCTTCACTCTTAGCTCTTCTTTCTTGGTAGTGAGGTACCCCCCTTTCTGCCCCTGGGATGGCTCGTTTTAAGCCTAGTGGGATGCCAAAACTGACCAATACCCTTGTTAGGGTTCCATATACCTTATTTGCATGGTTCTACCCCCCCCACAAGGGTACCATGCACTTTATTTGCATTATTAGTAAGCTATCCAATCCTCTTGGTGGGCCACAAGCACTTCATTTGCATAGTCTCACCCAATCATTTGGTGGGAGTCACAAGACCAATCTGGAAAGGTGTGCATCCTGAAAGGGTTGTATCCTTTCACTATACTTATTCAGTCCATATGCTGAGCTATGGCTGCTAACCAAAAGGTTGGCTGCTCCTTGGAAATCATATGGGGCAGTTCTACTCTGACCTGTAGTGTCACTATGAGTCAGAATTGATGACAACAGGTTTGGTTTTTGATTGGTACCATTTCACATTCATATAAGCTTTGTATGAGTTCCAGTTGCTCTGCATCCTTGCCAACACTTGCTGTGTTCAGTGTTTTTAATTTTAGCTATTCTCATAGATATGTAGTTAGTTAATTATGGTTTTAATTTACATTTCCTGACAACTAAAGGTGTTGAACATCTATTCATGTGTTTATTTCTATCTGTATATCTCCTTTGGTGAAGAGTCTGTTCAAATCCGTGCCTATTTTTTTTTTAATTGGGTTGTTTTTCTTATTGTTGGGTTTTGAGAGTTCTTCATATATTCTGGATACACGTAAGTTCTTTATCAGATATATGCTTTGCATAGATTCTCTGCCATTCTTTGCCTTTTTTTTCAATCTCTTAACAGTGTCTTTTAAAGAGAAGTTTTAAATTTTAATGAAATCCAATGTATCAATTTGTTCTTTTATGGATTGTGTTTTTGGTGTCATGTCTAAGCAGTTTTTGTCTACCCAGGTGTAATGGTTAAGGTTGTGTGTCAGCTTGGTTGGGCCATGATTCTCAGTGGTTTGGCAGTTATGTAATGATGTAGTCATCCTCTAGGATGTGATCTGATATGATCAGCCAGTCAGTTGTAAGAGGAGTTCCCTCAGGGGTGTGGCCTGCATCCAATATATATATATATGGACAATCTGGCAAAGCTCATTTGCTTGCTCTGGATTTTGTATCTGGTTTGTCATCATCTGACCTCCGGTTCTTGGGACTTGAGCCAGCTGCCTGATATATTGCCTGCTGATCTTGGAATTTGTTGGCCTCTGCAGTCCACGAGCCAGTAGCCTGCCGACTTACCTGCTGATCTTGGATTCGTCAGCCTCCACAGTCCATGAGCCAGTGGCCTGCCATTGGACCTGCTGATTTTGGGTTTGTCAGCCCCTGCAGCTACGTGAGTCAGCCAACTTGGGACTTGCCAGCCTCTACAACCACGCGAGCCATTTCCTTGAGATAAATCTCTCTCTTTGTCTCTATACATATATGGGTGTATGTACGTATGTATGTATATATATATATACACACACACCCATTTCACTGGTTTTGCTTCTCTAGAGAACCCAGCCTAAGACACCAGTTATCTCACAGTCTTCACAAATTTTCAGGCATTTTTGTCCATTGGGAATGTGTGTATAGGAATGTTGGATACATTTGTCTTTTCTGTCTTTTGCTGTTCCTGGAATTTGAATGAGTAGGTTGCTTCTTTGTTTCTTTCTGATTTGCTCCTGTGAAACCAAATTGTTCAGATAACTCATTTTTCCCATCATCCATTCTTTTTATATGCTTCATTCATTATGAGTCATTTATCATTCATTTATTTTTCAACAAATGTAATACCTATTATGTGTAAGCCCCAGAAAAATACGTTGTTTACAAAATATGCAGCAATCACATGACCATTAGAGGTGGGAACTTCTAAGCTTCCTTTCCCTTCTTTCTAATCACCTTCTTCACCTCCCTGAGAATTATTCTCCCTCTGATTGTGTGTACTCCTGTTCCTGCTTCATGTGTTCCTGGTTAGCCTGTTTACAGATATAAGTCTTTAACCTCAGGGTCTGTCTAATTTACCTAGTGCTGCTGTAAAAAAATACCACAAGTAGGTGGCTTAAAGAACGGAAATTTATTTTCTCACAGTTCTGGGGCCTAGAAGTCCAAATCGGGGTCTTGGCTCTGTCAGTTCCTTCCTTGTCATTAGCCCTGGGTGTGTATTTTTTGGTTTCTTGGTGTTTCTCACATGGTGTCTTCTTCCCCCATGTATGCTTCTCTTTGTGTCTAATTTGCCCTTTTTATAACTCAAAAATGATTAGGTTTAGGATCTACTCTATAGTGGTATGATCTCAACTGATTGATAACATTAGGTTAGAGTGCATTATAAAAGATGAGTACATTACATTTCATTGTGGAAGCTAATCTGCTCTGCCCAAGGCCAGCTGACTTAATCACACGGTTAAATCATAGTAGCATATAGCCAGAATTTTAATACATATTTTTTGGGGATACAATTCAGTCTATAACAGGCTTCCCCCCTCCCCATTCTCCCTTCTTTCCTTCCTTCCCACACGAGCTTTCATTGCTTCGACAGCTGTTTCTTTTTCCTCTTTTCTCCCCCTTCCTCCCAGTGAGTTCATGTTCTGCATTCTGAGAATCTGTTTTCCTCCCAGGAGATATTTGTTTCAGATAAATTTTCCTGTTTCTGCTCTAATTCTTTCTTTCATAGTAAAGTACAAGTGACTCATTTTATCTTCATTCTTTCAGGTTGTGATTCCAGAACTGAAATAAAGGAATTGACTCGAAAGCAGGAGACTTCTGAAGAAATGAGGTCACAGAGAGCAAAATCAGCACATGTAAAGAATATTTCCAAGGAACCTGATTTTGAAGAGATGAGTAAAGCTGAGGGGAAGTTAAAGAATTACTGGAGAAAATCTTCAGTGGAAGAACTTAAGGAATGCTTCTGCCAGAAGCAAATTTTCAGACCAGTGACAGTGACACATGTGAAAACCCCCACAGGAGAGAAAGGTCAGAAATTCAGTGCAGTTGGGGAAAATTGCACCGTAGACTCAACCCCTGTCGAATATCTTAGAGTTTCTAGAGTGGAGTGTCTCCATCATAGTATATCACGTGTAGAAAACTTTGAACAAAATAAAGACCACATTGACCTCCAGGGCATCCATCTAGGAGAAGGAGCCTGTCAGACAGATGTGTTTACAGAAGTGCCCAGACAGAGCTCAGTTCTTAGTGAGAATCAGAGGATTATTAGTCCAGAGAAACCCTTTGAGTGTACTGACTGTGGAAAAACTTTCAGTCAGAACGGAACTCTTGTTCAGCATCATAGAACTCAGACTGGAGAGAAACCCTATGAGTATAACCAATGTGGGAAAACTTTCATTCAGCACTCTATCCTTAGCAAACATCAGAGAATTCATGCTGGTGAGAAACCCTGTAAACGTGTTGAATGTGACAAAGCTTTCGGTGCTCGTTCATACTGTATTCAGCATTGTAAAATTCACACTGGAGAAAAACCCTATGAGTGTAATGAATGTAGGAAAGCTTTTAGTACACGCTCATCTTACATTCAACATCTTAAAATTCATACTGGAGAGAAGCCCCATGAGTGTAATCAGTGTGGGAAAGCTTTTAGTCATAGCTCTAATCTGATTCATCATCAGAGAATTCATAGTGGAGAGAAACCTTACAAGTGTGAAGAATGTGGGAAAGATTTCAATAGACAGTCACACCTGGTTCAGCATCAGAGAATTCATTCTGGAGAGAGACCTTATGACTGTAATGATTGTGGCAAAGCCTTTAGTGCACGGTTATCTCTCATTCAACATCAGAGAATCCATACAGGAGAAAAACCCTATGGATGTAACGAGTGTGGAAAATCCTTTAGCCTGAACCGAACCCTTATTGTCCATCAGAGAGTTCACACTGGAGAGAAACCCTATAGGTGTAATGAATGTGGAAAATCCTTCAGTCAACGCTCACAAGTTATTCAGCATAAGAGGATCCACACTGGCGAGAAGCCCTTTAACTGCAATGAGTGTGGAAAATCATTCAGTGCTCGTTTATCCCTTATCCAACATCAAAGAATTCACACTGGAGAGAAACCTTATGGATGTAATGAGTGTGGGAAAACCTTCAGTCAAAAGGGACATCTTATCCAGCATCAGCGAATTCACACTGGTGAGAAACCCTATGAGTGTAATGAGTGTGGAAAAGCTTTCAGTCAGAGTTTTAATCTTATTCACCATCAGAGAACACACAATGGTGAGAAGCCCTATGAATGTAATGAATGTGATAAAGCTTTCAGTGTACTTTCTTCCCTTGTTCAACATCAGAGAGTACACAATGGAGAGAAACCCTATGAATGCCACAAATGTGGGAAAGCCTTTAGCCAGGGCTCCCACCTTATTCAACATCAAAGAAGTCACACTGGAGAGAAACCCTATGAGTGTAATGAGTGTGGGAAAACTTTTGGACAAATATCTACCTTAATTAAGCATGAGAGAACACATAATGGGGAGAAACCCTACAAGTGTAGTGATTGTGGGAAAGCTTTCACTCAGAGTGCACACCTTATCCGCCATCGAAGAATTCACACTGGAGAGAATCCCTATGAATGTAGTGACTGTGGGAAGGCCTTCAATGTTCGCTCCTCTCTCATTCAACATCATAGAGTTCACACTGGTGAGAAGCCTTATGAATGTAGTGAGTGTGGTAAGGCCTTCAGTCAGCATTCACAATTTATTCAGCATCAGAGAATTCACACTGGAGAGAAACCTTATGTATGCAATGAATGTGAAAAATCCTTCAGTGCACGCTTATCCCTTATTCAACACAAGAGAATTCACACTGGAGAGAAACCCTATGAATGCAGTGAATGTGGAAAATCCTTCCGACAAAGTTCTCACCTTATTCGACATCAGAGAATTCACAGTGGAGAGCAACCTTATACATGTAATGAATGTGGAAAAACTTTCAGTCAGAGAATAACTCTTACTAGTCATGAGAAAATTCATAAAATTCACATGAGAGAGAAATCTTATAAATGTTAGAAGTGTCGGGAGCCCTTTAGTGCACAGTCAGCTTTAACTCAGCATTGTAAAGTTCATAGTAGAGTGTAAATCTGTCTTATTTGATGAATTCTTCACTTTTACATTATCAAAGTCATACTGGAGAGAAAAAAAGTCACTTTATGGCTTTTATTTTGGAGATTCAACTTTTAAGGGATTTAACCATCTTCCAGTGAGCTTCTAGCTAAAGACAGGCTGCTGAATTATGTGGTAAAAATTCTAAGGCAGCATGCCTTCCTTCAGATTCAGAGGATGGCCCTCTGCTTGAGTAGGCAAGTGCCATTTAAATATAACTATTTAGATCAAGTTTTTATAGCACCAGACCTTAAGGTACCATTAGGTATTTCATTTAACCACTTGTATTTCTTTCCTTCTCTCTTTATAATCTATATCAGCTTCAAGAAAATTAACTGGGATCCTTGCACTTTCAAGTGTGATGGACCTAGGTTTTTTTTTAAGTAATTTTTTTGTTTGGGTCTCTTCAAAATGTTTTTGTTTTATAGTGAGGGGTATGGTACTTTTAACTGAAAATGTGTCCCTTTTTAACATCAGATAATCCACACAGGAGAGAAATAAGGAAAGTTTGTTAAAGAATGAGGCAAGACTTGTATGTAGATTTAAACTGTTGAGATTCTGCTAAGAATTCACATAACTCACGTAAAATGGATTCTTCTAAAAGGTAATTTGGAAAAAAACCCAGCAAACATGAACTGGGAGAAAAGTAGGCACAATAGACACATGGCAACATGAGACACAATTTATAGGTTTTGTTAAAACCATGGTCAGTATATTTAATACCAGTTTCTAAGGGAGAGAAGGTTAGTAACTGAGGTGTCCACTGGCCTCTGGGTTTCCTCTTATTGGGCATCCTAGCACCAAGCAGACTCTGATGGAGAGATCTTTATGTATCAGTAATTCTCACCACAGGCAGTGTAGGGTTATGATGGAAAAGAACTGATGGTGATTAATACTTTGAGGTTGGATATTGAAGCTGCTGGGATTGGAACAGAGAAGAGCTAGACTATAAAGTCACTTTCCTAACCCACAGCATTTTTAAGAAGAGTGAGGAAGCTGCCTGTCTGTGCCTGTGTAGTCTGATCTCTCTAGGCGGGCACTGAAACCTTGTAGCAGAACTCAGGCCAAGGAAGGGGTGGTGGTGACAGAAACAGGATGACACTGGTTGCTGCAGTGTCTAGTCAAAGTCCTTGATGGGAGTAGCTTGCTTCCTGTCTTCCTAGTTTTTCACCCATCCTCAGCTTCCCACCACCCATGACTATACCTTTCCGTCTCCTAAGTGTGTATGTGTTCCTGGTGGGTCCCTGGTCTGGCGTTTCTCCAGGGTGTGTTCAGGTGTGTGTTGTGGGGATTGGGAACCAAGTGTGTATGTATTTTTGTGTCAGTGTCTGTGTTCAGTACCTTCTCTAAGTGTTTGCACATGCTGTTTTTCTGTCAGGAATGTTTTCCCTGCTTTTCTTTAACTCTTTCACGATCTGTGAGATACTTGTTGCCCACCCACTTTTTCCTGCTCTCAGGTTTATTGGGAAGCTGTTTTACCACTGACAGTGCATGCTGCTGCAAAGGCAGGAGCCTTTGTGACTTTGAAACTGAAAAAATGGGCATGTGCCACAAATTACTGTTTCTGCAGGGTATTGTATGACGTGTATACATATTTGGTAGGAAAAGTAGAAAATTTTCATGTGGGAACATGTGTGCCAGTGGACTCCAGTGGATCTCTGGTTTTCAGGGTTTCAATTAGTGGGACAATGTATTCGAACCCATTAATGAACACTGAATGTATTGTCCCACTGACCTGTGAGGGTAGTCTTGTGAAAGGGGGGAAAAATCCATACTACCTACTAAAATTCAGACGCAATGATTCAGCCTGCTTCCTTTAATGAAAAAATGTGTATCAACCAAAAATTCAAAGCAGAATAGGGCCTTAAAGGGGATGTAAACATCATCTTCCTTGATAACCCTATCTAAGTTAACTACCCCTCCATCCCCAGTCTCCGTTTCTAAGCCTTTTTGTTTTTCATTCTTCTGGAGGTTACTTCCATGACTTCAGGCAATAAACTCATATCCATGGATTTTTCAGTGTTAGACACTATTGGCTTCTCTATTAAAAAATGAGGGTTTAATTAACTTGATACCCACTCTTCTTCAAGTATGTGACAGTTATTTCAGTAATTTTGGTTCTTATTTTTTTATTATGGTAAAATACATAAAACATTTACCATTTTAACAATTTTTAATTGCACAATTCAGTGACATTAATTACATTAACCATGTTGTACAAGCATCAGCATTATTTCCAAAAGATTTTGTCATCCCAAACAGAAACGGAGTACTCCTTAAGCAGTAACTCTCCATTCCTCCCTCACCCCAGACCCTGGTAACCAGCAATAAACTTTTGTCTCTATGCACTTGCCTATTCTAGATATTTCATATAAGTGGTATCCTGCAGTATTTTTCCTTTTGTGTCTGACTTATTTCACTCAGCTTAATGCTTTCAAGGTTCATCCATGTTGTCACAAGTACCAGAGCATTTGTCTTTGTGGCTGAATAATATTCCAGATTATGTATATATCATGTTTATCCATTAAGCAGTTGATGGACATTTGGGTTGTTTCTGCCCTTTAGCTATTAAGAATAATGCTGCAATGAACATTAATGTACAAGTATCTGTTTGAGTACCACTTTCAATTCTTTGGGGGCATATACCTAGAAGTGGGATTGCCGGATCATATGATAATTCTGTTTAATTTTTTGAGGAACCGCAAAACTTAGTTATCTTTGAAATACGATTTCTTATTCCATTAA